TAATATTACTACCTTCTATAAAATAATTTTTATTAAATAGTTACTAGTTAGTTATTTATTTATTATAATATAGATATTATATTATATTATATAATTTATAATTATAAGGATTATATTATACTTCTTATATTAACCCTATTTCTCTAGTAACTTTATAATTATATTTATTAATATTTCTTTAAATAGGTATAATAATACTAATAAAGGTATAAGTAAGTTATAAGGTTAATATATCCTTACTTTTATTAATTAGTATATATAATAATACTTTATATATATCTTAATATCTCTTCTTATTAACTACTAGAAAAATAACACTACTATTCTATAAAGTATTTTATAAACTCCCTAATATCTTATAATAAGGTTATTATAATATAACTATAAGATCTCTAATTATAAGTTAACTAATATAAATACTTTTCTATTATTAACTAAGAGCCCTTTTTAGTTTAATAACTAAAGAATACCCTAGATCTTTATTACCCTCTTATAGCTTTTATATAGTATCTTCTTAGTTTACTTAATAAGGATATCTCCTTATTAGGCTATTAATAATTACTCTTAAAAGGTCTTCTTATTATTTCTAGCTTTTATAGCCTTACTATATCTTTCTAATAATATTACTTTATACTCCTTATACTTAGTTATCTAAGTACTTTACTAGTTTATTTAGGTATAGTAGAATCTTATACTTTTTATTTCCTTTCTTAGTTCTTAAAAATATTCTAAGAACTATAAGAGAAACTAGGTAATATATAATTCTTTTATATTAAGCTTATAGTCTACTTATTATAAAAATATATCTACTAGATTTAACCTACTTAGTTAGAAAATAATTTTAAAATTATATAATAAAAACTTATCTAATACTATTACTTATCTATAAGATAATATCTTCTTATCTATAAGGTAGCTATAGTTTAAATAGTCTATAAGAACCTTAATTATTTTTAGTAGATATACTAGATAATATCTTTATTAGTAAAAGGCTATTAGTATTATTAGTATCTTTATATCTAGTATTTAATATTATAATTCTATACCTCTTAGTTTCCTTAATAAAAATACTATAAAATACTAATAATCTCCTTATAATTATAATATAACTACTTTAATTATAAAATTTAAGGTATTTATTTTAATCTATATTTAGGCTTTTAGATTAAATTATATTAAAACTAGGGCTTTTTTAAATAGTATTTTTAAATATTTAAATAACTTAAGCTTATAGCTATTTAATATAAACTTTACTATTAATCCTTTCTTTATCCTTTTTAATAATAGATAGGTAATCTTATTAAAATTCTTAATAAACCTTCTATAGAAGCTTATAAACCTAATAAACGCCTATATCTCTTTAATATTACTAGGTTATAGCTAACTTATAACTACCTTAATATATTCTATATCTATCTTAATTTAACCTAGTTTAATAATAAATCCTAGGAATTTTACCTTCTATATTCTAAATTTATAGTTTTCTAAGTTTAGGTATAAGCTAGCTTTATATAATTTCTTAAATACCTAGTAAATATATTATATATATATTATAATATCTTTATTAAATATTAATATATTATCTAAGTATACTATATAAATATAATTAATATCTTTATATAAGGTAGTATTAATATATTCCTAAAATATTATTAGTACCCTTATTAGTCTAAATAATATAATAAGGTACTTAAAATATCTAAATTAATAATAAAATACTATCTTTTACTTATCTCCTTTATATATTCTTAACTACCTATATATATCTTTTATATTTAACTTTATATAGATTTTTATACCCTAAAGATAGTTTATAATTTTAGTTATTAATAGTAATAGTACTCTATTTTTCTTTATAATTTAGTTTAGGCCTTAGTAATTAATATATAAGTATAACTTTCCCCCCTTCTTTAATATAAATAAGATAAGAGCTTTTACTAGACTAGTTAATCTTCTAATCTATTCTCTTTTTAGTTTTTTATTAATGAACTTATATAGTTCTCCTAGCTCTCTTATAATAAGTAAATATATAGGTTCTTATAGTAGTACTTTACTTTCTTTTAACTTTATTATATAAGTTAGCCTATCTAGTATAAGTAATCTAGTTACTTCTTCTAATAAAAAAAGGTTTATAAAGTTATAATATTTTCTTAGTAGTTTTATATATATTTTATCTAGTAACTTTATCTTACCTTCCCTTAGGGTTATTACTACTATTATAAACTTTATATTCCTTATTACTTATCTTATTCCTTAAGTATTTA